ATCTCTATGATCGTTGGTCCCCCTGTTGCTGGCAAATATCTCAATGGACAAAATAGAAAAAGTGCTGTGTATGGTGACGACATTTAAATATGTGGAGGGCGGGTCAGACCACAAAGCCTCGGAGGTAGTATGAAACACCAGTTCAAATCCGTATATTTAAATGTATATCTAAATAAAATGGATTCCGTATGTTTGAACGGCCGGGCGGGCCAAGGAAAACCTTCTCGGAGGTAGTCCAAAATACCAGTTCTTATATTTAAGATTCCGTATATTTAAATGTTATATACAGTTTATGTATATATACGGTAGAATTGTATATAGACAGATTATAGTCATAGGCACACATACACAAACACCTACATATACCGTTTGCTGATTGATATCCAATGCAAAACCATCACATAGAAATTGTCACTTTGGGATTCCAGCAAGTCAAATTTGACGATTATGTATTGATGTATGGTCAGAGGTTTCGGGGCCCCAGATCAGACAGAGTTGGGCCTTCAAATACTTGTTTGAGTTGTGTTTCTATTTTCTGCATGTGTGGATCAGTTTACACAGAGGACTCTTACCACAGATGCATGTTGTAATTGTATATATATATTATACATGACATTTTTTATACAGTAACATGTTACAATATACATGCTTATATGCTACACACGCTCAGATCCCCAAAAACGTGAAACCACTATAAACCACTTATAGATCTTCCGCGTGTTGACATCATTGTTTATCCAGTCGAGGAGCTAAGTGTGTCGCCTTTGGAGCAGCTTCATCCCATGAATTGATCGCTTCCTGCAACTGTCGACCTCAATGCTCTGATGATGGAAGTGAAGCAACAAAATTCGCACATGGACATGGGCAGTAAATGACAGGAATTTTCGTGTGGTAAAGCCAATCACAAAGCTCGAACAAAATGACCATTTCCAGTGAAATTGGGATGGTTTGTTATTGGTTTGACGCCATTAGTTGGGTCGTCAACCAACAGCTAAAACAGTTATCCCACTTCTGTGGTCCATTGATATACTGCTACACCCCTATTCTTGAGCCTTCCGATGCACCCCTGGTGCTCGTGGCAACACGTTACGCCATTAAACTGCATCGTAGTTTCCGTTTTTCCGATATATCGCTCTGGAGATCGGAGACAGCATGTGAATCCATGTGATTCTGTATGAAGTACAGATCATATCACCGTTTTGGGCTGATGGCCTATGATGGGTTGCCTAGGATTCCTTTCAACAGCCGCTGTAATTATGTTCATCTATCACGGCCGTTCATCTATCACTGATTCATGTATATATATATGTATGTCAAAAGTCACCGCAGAGTATCAAATAGAACTGCTATATCCCATCTGGATGTGTCAAGCGAGGCACCGAATGAACTCGGGCCAGTGGTCTTCGACAGGTCGAAAATGCTCGCCACGCCGTCCAGATCATTGGCTGGTAAGTTGGCGCGGGAACAGAGCTGTCCAAAGCCGCCACCCATGTTCAAAATGTCAAAGGTGTCTGCGTTGAAAAGAACCTGGGAAGACTTGGCGACTTGTCAGGTTGGTCCGAAAAAACAAACTAAACCTATAGATTGTTGAGAACATTACGAATATGATCGAATATGTATATCATAGATATAATACAGAATAAATAACATAATATAACAAAATGCAACTATATTATAATGTAATATCACATAAAATATTGTACAATATAGTTATGTAATATAAACTAAAAAATAATGTTATGTAATATAATGTATATAATGTAATTGGATGTACTATAATACAATATACACATCATAGATCGATTCAGTGCCATGATTTTTCGTTGGGGTTCCAAGCAGCACATTGGAAGAACATGTTTGGTTTCTAGAAGTTTCATTCTTCCCATGGTGTTTCGTATAAGTCTCATGGGGATACCCTTTAAATAAGGTACCCCTAATATCACCCAGTCGCCGTGGATGACGACAAGAGACAGTCGCATCTTCGGGAACGCTGCCTTCCTGGGCTGCCATGATGCGCTGCCATGGATGGCCGAGGGCTTTCATCCATTTTAAGAGGACGTTCCAGCGTAAAGCATCCATTTGGGGTACTTCTGGTACTTTGTTTTTTTTTTGGATACCCCCATTTGGTGTATCAAGAAACCGAAACTATGTCGCAAAATTGCCTGACATCTCCACTATTGGACCCCGTTTAGATAGTATAGTGTGTTTCTGGATGGACATCTGATGCCAACCTGTCCTGAACATTCTTGAACTATGTCAGCACTTTCTGAGAAGAGGGGAGACACAATAACCACCAGATCCAGGATACCAAAAAGCACAACCACATCGAAACCATCGGCTAGGATGATGACATCTGCCCACCCAGCAATCACTTTGAACCTACCAAATCATTCAGCATTTATGAGTAAGAATCAAACCTACAAATCAAAAAGCTAGCCTGCCCTGGGGAGGTCGCAAGCTACAGTTAATAGTAAGTATACATGTAAATACCGGGAGGACTTGTTGCACACGTGTCAAATGCTGTTGACACAACTATTATAATAGTTGGTTGTTTCAAGCCTGATCAATATCAGTCATTACAGTAGTAATGTGTCATCATGTTTCATCCCCAATGGGTGGATGGCGTTTTTGAAACTACCGACCAAGCAACTATAAATAAATCGATGATATATATATATATATTATATATATATTATATATATATATTATTTTGATAAATACAAGAATACAAGAAATAAACTTAATAAACCTATTTCATTTTGCCACTGGAAAATCCATACACACATACAGCGTAGACAAGTGACCGGCGTAACCTTCGGACTGGTTGGTGCGCCCTCAGGGCCACTGCTTTGAAGGTTGTTCCTCAGGACTGTCCGATGAAATTCGGGGTCCAAAAATGATCGATTTGGAACTGCAGAATTGCCATCGACCGTCCATCTTTTACCATCTTTTCAGAGATCATGGTCAACAACAAGAGATTTTGGGGTGTCATGGGCAGGTGTCGTATCTTCAAACCGGAAAAAGAGGTGTCACCTAAGTCAATGTGTTTTGAAATCATCCAGACTCAACAGACTCGCAAAGGGACGTTGGAAAGAAGGCAAGAGATCAACCCGTGGCATTTTGCCACATGTCCAGGCAAATCAACTAAAATTCCAGAACGAAAAACGAGTTGTTCGACGTCGTCCATGTTTTCTGAGCCAAGGAGCGCCAAAGTGCTATCCTTTTCAGCAACCTCTTCAAGTAGAGGCGCAATAGAATAGCCAAAGTCCTGGAGACTTTTGGTCTCAAAAACTCTGCCAACTATGGGTCAACAAAAATCAAGCCAAATGGCACCCAATGGGACCGAAGTTGGCCATCTTTTGTCCCAAGGCTCGGGCCTGAAATTCTCTCATTCCCACCAAACAACAGCGTTGACCTGGCGGTGCATGGGTGAAATGAGGGCTTTGAACCCCGAGATATGGCAATAACTGGATGTTGGGGTACCTAAAAACCACAGATTGTAAAAAGGCTATCTCAAAAGCCAAAAGCAAACCCTGGATACAAACCCTGGTTGCCCAGTTTGGAAACACCCAACATAGCCAGCTGAAGCTGGATGTTCATCCACCAAAATATGGTACCATAGAGGTTTTGACCCATCCCAATGTGTCCTTGATGGAAAGACGAATAATTTGCTTCAGACACTGCATCGACCGTTCAAAACTATATTTACAGTTGTTGCAAAAAGAGATATTGTCGTTAATTGAAAGAGCAGCAGTGACAATCATTGATTACCAAGACTACCAAGTGATGCGAGTACCTCGACGATCCTAAACAATCCTCTTTTCGTAGCATTTGTTACTTTCCATGTAGGCCTCATTGAATCCAAGTGCTTTTTCATCGATCAAAAACAGGGGTTGTCTAAAACAATCCAACCAATTTTGGATCTTTCTCACTGGAATAGCAAATTTAGGGCTAACCCTCAATGTCCGACAAATTTATACATTTCTCAAGCCCTGAATAATACATGATTCATATACCTAGACTCAACGTATACGAAGAAGAAAAAGTGAACAAATGAAGAAAAAAAACATAGACGCAGAAAAAACAGAACAATCATAAGAAGAAAAAACATGTCTTGGAATCCCATCGGCATTTTTTCCAAGACATTCACGATGGAAATAGAAATAGAAAAAGAGAAACCACTCAGCCACCAAGAAGCCATTCGCATTGTCGAAATGGCAGTGTACCACTTCCATCTGCAGATTGCTTCCTAGACCTCGGACGTGGGCTGCCGGGCTGTGGGTTGTCCAGAAAGGGGTATCTATGGGACGAGATTTAATGGGATCCAATGGGATTTAATGGGATGTGTTTAATGGATTTTAATGGGATTTAATATTGAATTATTGAGATTGGGATTCAGACCCCAATAGATATTTGGCGATTGAAGAAGGGTGAACGCGAGGGTTTCAACCATTGGATGAACCGAAAAACATTGGGGTACGAAATTTGTGGACGCAGCCATATATGAGGGGCAAGACACCTTTAGACACCTTTAGACATCTTTAGACTAATGCGGAGACCCCCATGCCACAAACTTCCAATGCAGGATTGCAGAAAAACCAAAATCGTTTCTGGCAAGTCAGACTGACAAGTCATTGGGGATGCCCCTAATGGCTATGGCGATATAACAGCTGTGGATGTCAAGAAGCAATCCATCATCCTGGCGTTCAGCGCCATGGTGTGGCTGCTGCCTGACAATAAGGACTCCTGGCTGAGTTGCAAGGCCGTAAACTCATCTGAAGCAACCATGGTTTTGTTGCTGATTTCTGGCATTTAACAAACATAACAAACATTTAACAAACAAAAACGTCGGACACCTTTGTACCATAGAACTGGGGGAGCTGACATACGAGGTTCCATGTTTCTTATGCCCAAATCTTGGAGGTTCCAGTGACTCCATGGCAAACCACCCTGGCTTGAGCTGGATATACCCACAGTCAAGCTGGGATATGGCAGCCCCTTTAAAAGGGCCCTCGCTGGCCGCTGGGCCACTCTTTTTCTTCCACCCGGCGGAGAGGAATCAGCACAATGTCCAGCCAAAATGGGAAAGCAAAGTCTTCCATCCGTGCTCGTGGCCTGAGGGAACACCCTCCAAAGATCATAGGATTCATAGGACATATCACAAGTTGACAACCAAAGACGTAGGTCTTTGTTTCAGACTGTAGATTGTCAACTAGAATGCGTGACTACCCAAATCGTCATTGGCTATTCCTACGTGCAATTAGTTGTTTTTTCCCTCCAGTTCTGTAATCCAGGATTTATGGTCTAAGGCTTAGGCCGTTGGAAACCTGATGACTTGCAAAGGAATTATATACGTGGCATGCACTTTCACAGACTGAATTAACGCTACATTGACACTATCAACATGGTAAATTGGGATGATTTTTGGCTGGTGCAGTGAACTCACAAACCAATTTCAGTTGGAACTTCGTAAAGTATACCCCATCTACAATCTCAAGTTTTCACTATTTGGGAGATTGAGAAAAAAACAACCCAAAAGGTTGAGTATTGGGTCCGCATTGTAATCCGTTCGCTCTGATATGAAATACCACCGAAGAAACGCTGGTTTTGTATTGCATCTATTCATGTTTACGGCCCATATGCAAGAACTCAATGCATTAGGACATACTAGGTAAATGGTCAAATCTCAAAAATCTACATTGTTTTTGCTTAATCTTGGTTGAATACAATTAGATTGCATGGCTTGTCCAGCATGTCTAGCTGATTTTGCTTGGGTTTCACAATTTATGTTCCATGTCGCCTGATGGAATGGATTACAGCAAACTGAAGATGGTATGAAACTGGTTTCACACATATTGTTTAACACATGAATTCAGTGTCCTACCATGCTCATCCATGTTCTATGATATGTCATCGCATCCCTCCCTGAATCATATTCATCAAGCTGAAGGTCCTGGTGAGGTGAAAAACCCAGATCCATGATGTCCAGAAAAAAAAACCAATGACAGATTATTGGAGTTCTCATCTCAACCTTATCTATACCTCTCACACACACATACATATATATATATTTGCTTTTAGGCGAGGCTTGAGGTTCCCCAGAACATCGAGGAACCTTCAATCTTGCGATACAATTGTACATGTCTGATCTTCTATTAATATACAGAAGGGTGGGTAGGTGCGGTATTAACGTCCTTTGAACTGGGCTAGAGCCAAGATGCTGCTACGTTGAAGATGTTGAACATGTTGCTATGTTGAAGACGTTGTTATGTTGAAGATGCTGCTACGTTGAAGATGTTTTCACGTTGAAGATGTTGAAGATGTTGCTATGTTGAAATGTTATTGTGTGTGCATTTCGCCCATGCTTCTCTGGGGAATTATGACATTTTTATGGGATCCATGAGAACACTGAAATTCTATCAACACGCAATTCTACTGGTTTCTACGGAAACAACATAAAATGAAGAACTTGAAACACCTGGAACTAGTTAAAACCGCTGACAACATACCCCAGGTATGTTGTCCGCGTGTTGAAGTCGTTCAATGTGTTATCATGTTCCATGAAGACCGCAAAACACTGTAAAAGGAACTGAACAATGACATTTCCAAATCTTTCTCCAGCTCCACTTCAATTGCGTTCCGGGGAACCTGAAGCCTCTTTCCTGGTTGTATACTGTATTATATCATAATATATATATATATTATATTATTATGAATCATATTATATCATATTATATTATATCATATGATCTTATAATATGTTATATTATGGTATATAAAATTACTATATACTATTTTATTTTAAATTACATAGATACTATATTATGTAACACATTCTAGATGTGTATACATTTATAATTAATAATTACCAACATTCTACATCATTCTACATCATTCTACATCATTCTACATCACTCTACATCATTCTACATCATTCTACATCATTCTACATCATTCTACATCATTCTACATCATGATTATATCTATACATATCTATATTCTACAAAATATAGCCTATGTAGCTAATATACATCCCATCTTATCTTGGCACCTTTAAAAGAGACCCGTTGAACACAGCCTGCACCAAGGCACTGCACTTCCGCTGGCAAGGCCCTGGCGACTTCAGCATGGTCTGTGGTGCTGATGACCTCCTGCTCTCCGATGGATTCCTCAGGGCCCGGCAGTGCTGCGCTGACGGCCGCCTTGGTGCGCTGGGCGCCGCTTTATGGGGGACATCGAAAAAGGGGATGGGTGAAAAGCCCCCGATTTTTCAGAAATCCTGGGGTGATTTGGGCATAAAATCTCGGGTTGGAAGATGTTGGAGATTGATTTTTCCGAAAACACACGGAAATTCAATCAAGATTTTGTGCGTTCTGCACGACTGGAAGACACAGAATTTACTGGGATTTAGCACCATGGTCTGATGTTAATGTTGCTGTAAATCAATCCAATGAGTGGTGCACAAACAAATTCGTGCAATTGTAGTCACTACGATCAACCCAAATGAGAAAACACATCCCCAATTTTACCAGAATTCGCTGGTCCAAACACTTTCGAATTGGAGCTTCATCTTCTGGGGTGATCACATGACCCCTCCACCAGCGGTATAACCTGATGACGTTAAGGTTCGGGACTTTACAACACCATCACTGTGACTGTGGCTGGGCCAGGGTGGATACCTGCTAGTCAATTGACCACGCTGCAGTATGATGTGGTGATGGAGTCAAAGAGCTGTATACAAATTGCGTTTAAACTTGCAGAAACACCCCCCAGCACAAAATGGGGGTGCTTCGTTACCGTGCTCTGACCACGTGTGCAAGTCTCTTACAAGTGAAGCAAAATGCGGTCAGTATGCAGGTCAGATTTGTGTAGGACGGAACAAAATATGTTGCATATTCAAAATGTCCCACTTCTGTGGGTCATCTTCAATGTCGATCCTGGTGATATCCAACAATATCCCATCCGTTCTTGGTGCCTCCAGATCCATTTTTGTTGTTTTCTTTGTTGTTTCAATCATCCCGATTTGGTTTGATGCCACAGTTTTTTGCTATACTGTCTAATTAAGTACATCAAGCGGTGATATGTAGTGATTCTCTATTGTCATCATGTACGATACTTTAACTTACAGAAAAGACCTCCAACGTCCAGCGCCCCGCACAGCGAGCCGCAAGAGTTTGGTGCACTCGTCGCAAGGATGCCAGCGACGAGCCGCGAGACGAAGTGCTTGTTGTGTCGATGAATTGCCACCAGCATTGCCTTGGATTACGATGGTTCGACCCGTTGCGTAACGGGACATTTCAAAGAAATTAGGGATACCAATAGGATCCATGTATGCTATAGTAACATTTACCATCAATTTACCCCCAATGTTAGTATATATACCATACATGGATCCTATGGGATATGCGAAGTTCCTGTGGTTTGACAAATGGGGAAATGTGTTGCTAAAATGGTGAGATAGACAGCAGCAATAGTGGGAAGATTAATTTTAGGGGATATACAACCACCAAGATGATATGCATTGACATGTACTTGGGGTATACCGCCAAATGGCTGTGTTTATGGGGAGAATAACTATACTATATATGTGTAAATCATATGATCTGAGAGTACCCTATTTTCAAGCAAACCCAAATGGTTTTGGCCCCCAAATGTCTGGTCATGTTCAGAACTAATCATGACTACTGATGCTAAACATGATAAAGCACTAAATTTGGCTATCGTATCGAACTGATAATGCCATCCACTTTAGGATCAACAATTTGAGCCATGACTTCATGACCATGTCAATCCGCTGCATGCACAGGCTTAAAACATAAGAAAAGCGTGTGACATTGCTATCGCTGCAACAAATATGCCGACCTGACCAATCCTGCTCAGATCTCTGAGTTGAGGAAATTATAGTCATTCCGTTTGCATTTCACATGTACAAACAACACCTTCTGTTGTTCATGACAGGGTATTTCTCAGCCACCCGATAGGGACTTCCTTCAGTTCCTTCAGCTTTTTCTGGTCAGGAAACACGGCTGTCAGCATCTGAAATCGAAGCTTTATGTTCTGCAGCTTCAACTTGTGCTTCGAATCCAGCAAATATTGTAAGACCTGAGGATTAAGATTTTATCCATGATTGGGGAGGAAAGATCATGGTGATTCATTATCTGGGCAACTGGGAAAACTACAAATGAACTTACCATATCACAAGAAATAAATGGTGGGCCCTCTGGCAACATCTCTTGGGATCACATTCAGGGCTTGACCCATAGCCTTACCTTGAATCGAGTAGTTCATATATATATATAATAATATATATATATATATTATGAATTACATCTAATTACTTTTATAAAAACCCACAAGGGGCCCTTGCCATCTAAAAAATCAGTCTTAAGCGAGGGGCCATGATTGCACCGGGGTTTTCATTCAGGGTTTTCAGGTGTTATTTTTTAAATACAAAACAAGCACCACGGTAGTTGAACGCACCGAATATTTGGCCACATTTCTAATCATGGCTGTCTCAAAATAGATGATCCCCAAAACCATGGGTTTCAATTCAAAAATGGTGCAAATATGGATGAATACTGTTTGTATGCCCCGTTTTTTGTCCCATCCATATGGAATCTAACCTGATCTATCCTGAACCCGTGGTTTTGGACATGTTTTGACCCCCACCTCATCATAGACAGCATGAACTTCACCAATGGGACCCCTGTGGAGGAGTAAGGCGCTCCCATAGGCATGAGCTAACAGGCACGCAGAACGGGCACCAGACGTCCCTTGTAGACGACCTAGCTCCTGAAACGAAATCCAGCAGGAAGACAATAGAAGCAACAACAGAAAAACCAACAAATCAAAATTTAATGGGATTTAATGTGATTTATATAACATTTAACAGCATTTAATCCCACTCTCAGATTGGATAATCCAAAGAAAACATCAACGGTTCTGAAGTTTGGCTGTGTCTGAATAGGGGTTTTTCCCCCCCATTTGCGGACTATTTTAAAACTGGAAATCGATCAATAAATTCATGGGATTGAATAGGTTGTCCTATTTCCAGGGAATACCCTCTGGTAAACTAACATAGCTATGGAAAATCACCATTTTCAATGGGTAAATCCACTATAAATCACCATTTTCAATAGCTATGTTAAATTACCAGAGAATAGAAAAATCCATATTGTTGGGCATTTGTTCTGGTATGTAGGTTCTGACATTCTGGCTGGATAGATCCTGAGCAGAACCATTTTTACTGAACAGTTATTTTCTTTGGTATGTGCAATTGCAAACTATTGAGTAGAAACCACCTGTCTGATTTTTGTTTGCATTTCAACAACAACCAACAGCAACCAGCAACACCCAGCAACATCCAGCGTAGTAATAGTGGGACACCCAAATATTAAACATATTATCATTAACAACAAAACTTACAATAGAAACTGCTTACCATTTTTTGGATAGTTTCCCTTTCTTAAGATCACTGATAGTGAGGTCGCTATAAATTCCCTAGTTCATCATAAGGTTGCGGTATTGTGGATTGGTTCCTATTCTGGATTGGTTCGGTGAGTTGATTCGGATTCCTATGTTTCGCCCCCGTAATATCTCTTGAATCAATTGAACCAAACAGTAAAAAACCTGTTCTCTTGAACCAATCAGGCAAACCACTGTTTGGATACCGTTCATGTTTAGATTGTTTCACCCCAGTACATCCATGCCTAATTTAACTAATCTAAGGTAAGTTCAAGTGAACACATTATGATGTTCAACCACTTTCTATATTACGTTCCACTCTCTTGGCAGGGTTCGATTCGCTAGCAATATCAAGGAGATGTGATGGACCAAACATATAAACAAATATTAGTGATGTGTAAATATATATATATATACATACATAGTGATACATAATATATATATATTTATTTATACATATAATTACATATATATATATAACAATAATTATTTATCAATATTATCTATATAAAACACAAACGCCTCGCTATGTTGGGACTGACCTGCTGTTACTTCACTTCGCAACAATCTTAATAAAGAGGTAAACACTGTACAAAATTGTTGCAACAAAACCATGTCTTGCCAAAAAGGATAATCCGTTGGAACATGTCGAT